CCCCCCCCCTGAAACTTTGCAAAAAAGCGCCGAGACACAAAACAAAATGTGTTTTGGAAATAACCTTGGAAGGGCACACTCACACACAAAGTTTGAAAGAAATCTGTTTTTTCAACCAAAATCGTTATGAGGTTCTTACAGAGACAGCCTCTTAATTCTGTTTAGAACGACATTTGCTTTCAACATCAACAGACGCCTTTCGCTCGAATACTTTCGGAGCTGTCGTTAACGACGTCGGCTGCTTCGGTAAAAACTTCCATATTATGAATTGAAACATGGGGTAGTTTGTTTGCCTTCTTTGTAACTTCATATCTGCATGAATTCCTCGAACCATATCCTCTACAAATGTCGCCTTGTGGCAGTTAGCAGACCAAGTTCAAGAAAAGCAAACGAAGCCTTCAAAATTGCTTCATACGTTAGAACTYTCTTCAATTTTTATTTCGAACGCTCCAGCCTTCACGGCCATATCTAGTTATTTTGTAGGTGTGACGGCAAAGATTAACAATTCACTACCTGAACTCGACTTTCAACAGTATAAGACGACATATTGCTCTGAACAACAGCAATTTTCCCTACAGCGCCCCTTGTTTTTTTTATTTTTTATTTTTTATGTTTTTGTTTGAAGAAATCTACCCGACCCTCTTATGATTAAGATATTTTCGCATGCGCAAACAACGTGCGCGAAATGTCAACTAGTTGTTCATTTTTGGAAGGCATCTCTTCTTCTTCTTCTTCTTCTTACTCCCTCCCTTCCCCCTTTCCTCTTCGAAATTTTTGTCCTCGCCACAGGAAGCCCAAGGAGCAAAAAGAGCCAAGGAGATGCCGGCGGAGGAGGCTACATTTTTGGCAGGCATCTCCTCTTCTTCTTTCTTCTTCCCTTCCCCCTCCCCCTTCGAATTTTTTGTTCTCATCACAGGAAGCCCAAGGAGCAAAAAGGGCAAGGAGATGCCTGCGGAGGAGGCTAATTYATATTGATATTTGCGAGCACTGACTCTCTATATGACTTATCCTATGACAAGATGCAGATAACTATTTATGCTTATTCAATTATTGTCATTCAATAAATTTTCGATCGTGTTGATATACCTCCTCCCTATGTACAAACGGTGAAAATAATTTTCTTGTTGAATTTTGTTTAGATACCCAATTGTGCTCAAGCTAAACAATTCAAATGTTAAAATGGTTTAATATGTAGCTTCATAGCAGTAGACACATGCGCGCCATTAGTATAACGTAACGTTGACGTTAAAATGCAGCGAAATAAAGAGAGCAGCTTTTTATATAAAACACGAAATTCAGACTCGTTTTCCGCCCATATTTTAGCTCATTTCTGATAATTGTTCTGTCACTATGTGACAAACTAATCATTAGGGAGCC